GAAATTGACCCCAGTTGTAAAATAATCAGGTTACTGATAGCACCTGCCCGGAATTACATGCCATGGAGACAGGCGCGTTTCCACCATTTCCCCTCTGGTCTCCCATTTTCTCCTCCTCCTGGACTGGGCAGTGGTTGTTACTAGGTTTTGCCTGCAGAGGAGGAAGGGCCTCAGAACCTGGGTGAAGAGAAAACTGAACCTGCCCGTGAATTTTGGACTGCAGATAAGAGCAGGGAGGGTCTGGTCGGCTCTTCTTCTGCCCGGAGTGAGGGCTCGCAGGTTGGGGTGTGTCCCAGGGGCTGGCTGGGTGCTGCCCGCCTGACCCCCCCCAACTCGTGAGTTCCCTTTTCAGAAGGGCAGTTGGCCCTATCACCCTGTGACCCACAATAGTGGACTTGATCAACAGGTGGGCAAGGCTGCAGGCTTCAGAGTGTCCAAGGGCAGAGGTAAGAGGAGCCAGGGGCAGCTGGCCGGCCAGTCACGTGGGGTCGGGGAAGAGGGGGCCCAGAGGTAATGGATTGCACACACTCTTTTGTTTTCTAATGAAAGTTTCATTGAAGTTTGTTTACAGAAAGAGAGATATTAGTAGACCAAATTCCCTTGAGATTCCAGAAGGGAAAAGCAAGAAATGCCCGACTTGTGACCTCTGGGCGAGCAGGGGGAGTGCCCTAGGTCCATGCAGAGGCCCGAGGCCCTGCCACCGCAAACCTGCCCTGGCCGCCTCCTGCAGGTCCCTCCGGACTTGGGTGTGTTTCCCCCTCTGCACAGTGGTTGATGGGCTCTGCACTGTGTGTGCTGGTAATTGCCTGTGTAATTAGCCAGCTCCTGGAGCCTTGGCTTGGCGTGGCCAGGTGAACTTACAATCGGCCCTCTGCAGCCGGGGGCTCTGCTGTGGCAGGTGGGGTATTGGGAAGGCTTCTCTCCCAGGTCAGCCCTGAAAGTGAGGATGTGGAAGCTGTCTGTGTAAATTTGATCTGGACTTATTTGTTGTTTTGTTTTGTTTTGTTTTTAAGTTAGGTTTAATAGACTTGATTTCTCACTTTTAAAAAATTGCCATAGCAGTCGTGTCAAAATCTTAGATACAGACACTGACCACAAAACGGAGATTCATGTGGCAGAACCCTTCCATCTAGTCAGTAGATAACCTGGAAGCAGGTTCCACAGCCCCATTCTCTCTCAGCACTTCGAAGCAGGTCGGCATTTTTAGCTGGTCTCTTTCCCTGGATAACGAGGTCCTGGAGGAAGGGAACCCTGCCTGAGTCATCTGTGTCGCCAGCATGTAGTAGATGCCCAGTAAATGTGTGTGTGGACTCACTGAAGAGAGTGAGCGAGCGTGTGGGGGTGTGGGTGTAAATATAGCTTCATCTCCCATGAGTTCTCTTTGAGTCTCGTCTTGATTCACTTTGTCATTAAGGAACATGGCTCTTTCGATCAAAGGGAGGAAGTGTGGTGAGGCGGCCCCTTGGTGTGGTGGCCCTGTGATGTGGGCTCTGGGCACAGGCTGCCTGGGTTCCAATCCCAGCTCTGCCACTAGCTACGATGCCCTTGGGCAGCTAAGGCAGGTCTCCAAGGGGCAGGTGCCAGATCTGGAGCTAGGCCTGACAGGATCTAGGCCTGACAGGGATGCCTGCTTTTTTCATGGGGCTGTTGCCAGGAAATCTCATAAAACCCTTGCCCCGAAGCCCCTTGTGTGGGGCCACTGGATGTTCTTCATTATCGGTGATTGTGATGTCAAAGTAAAATTTGGCCCACCTCTTCCCAACAGCACCTATCAGGGCAGGGAGGAGTGGAAGGGGGTCATTTTGGTGGACAGTTAAGTGATCTGAGCTGGAGAAACCCTAGGCGCTGCGAGAAACCCCTGGCAGCTTGCAGGAGGGAGACTGCAAGGCAGCACACTGCCGCTAGCCCGCCAGCCCCCTTCCAGGCTTCAGATGGTCTCCGTTCAAGAACTGTGTGCAATGGGACCGAGTCCTTAATTGTCAAGCTAATGCCACATCCTCATTAAACTCCAGTATCATGCCAGGCAATTCAGCCAGTTGGAGTCTTGCTGGCCTTGTGGGGGGTCCAGAGAACATAGAGCCTGGTCCCCGCTCCTGGAAGGACAAGGTTTTCTGGGGAAAGAGAGGGCAGAGATCCACGGTGTGCAGACATGCTGCAGCTGAGGGGTATGTGCCTGCCTGCCTGCCGGGGCCAGTGGTACAGGCAGAGATTGTGTGAGAGGAACTGCAGAGACTGAGCTGGGGTTGATAGAGAGGGGAGGGCATATGTTAGGAATCTGGATTGCAGAGCCCTGCAGTAGGGTGGGCATTCCAGGTGAGAGGGACAGCTAGAGCAGAGGCTTGGAGGTGGGAGAGAAGCAGGGGGCATCTGGACCTTCAGGATCACACATCTGGCTCTGCCACCTGTTAGTGTGTGACCTTGGGCAAATGCCTTAACCCCTTGGAGCCTCAGTTTTCTCATCTGTGGAGTGGGGCTGATAACTGTACCTGGTGGCCCTGTGGTGGAGGTGGATGGGACGATCCAAGGGGAGCACCTGGTAAACTTTGGCTTCTGTTACTGCTTTAAACTTGGCCGCGTGGGGCTGGAGTGTGGGAGCCTTCCGTGCTGCGTCCAGAGGTTCTGACTTTTTCCTGCTCCTCAGTGACAACCGCATGCCTTTAGTGGAATGCTCCCCAAGCCTTTCTCTGAGCTGAGACAGTCCTGCCCAGGGTTATGTGCGCCTTGGGAGGGGACACTCCCGTGTGGCTTCACTGCCCCCCTGCTCACCTACCCCCGGCCACAGTGGCCTCCTGGCTGCTCCTCAATCCCTGAACTCTCTGCATGTGGACCCCCACACGGCAACCTTCGTCACTTCCCGCAGGCCTGTGCTCAGTTGTTCCCTGACTGGGGAGGCCCTCCTGGCCCACCCTGGCCAACGCAGCCCTGTGGGTCCCTGTCTCTTATTCTGCTTTATTTCATTGTGTAGCCATCATCACCACTGACGTGACATGTTTTTGTGCTGAGTGTCCATCTCCCCAATAGACAGTGAGCCCCAGGAGGGCCAGGACTTTGTCTCGTCCTCCTCCGAGTTTCCCAGCACCTACAGCCGTGCTTGGCTCATAGCAGGTGTTGAATAAATGTTTGTTGAATGAATGGATCAGCATTTTGAATAGCTGGTGCTTCCAGATGTTGATAGAATACTCAGTCTTTTAAACTGTGAGTGTTTCAACAACACCCAAGAGCCAGGAGAGGGCCTTCCTGCTTCAGCCATGACTGAGGTCGGACCCTGAGCACAGTGTCCCCTGGGCAGCCAGAAGGAGCAAGGGGCCCAAGTGAGGAGGCCCCTGTCCTGGCCCCCAGAGTCTGGGTGGGCTCTACACCTCCAAAGGTCCTTCTCCCCCCACCCCACCAACCTCCCCTCTCACTCTCAAGTTCTGTTCTGTTAGCGCAGGGGAGAGTTTAGTTGTCCCTTTGTACCCTTTGTGCAGAGAGAGCCTTTTGGACACGTGTGTGTCACTCTGGGTGTGAGAACACAGTCTGAGTGAATGTGCGTGAGCACGCTTCCACCTGAGGAAGACTGTGGGTGGATGTGCTTGTGTGTAAGGAGGGAGGCAGAGCAAGTGCACGCGTGCATCTGTGGGGAGAGGGCACAAGAGGACACGTGGTCTCCGTCCCCCGAGGCACACCGGGCTCTGGGTGTGCCACATGGGAACCCCGGGGCTGGGCAGAGCCGCGTCCTGGCCCAGCCCGCGTCCTCTGGATTCAGCCGCAGAGGGTGCACACTCGTGCTGTACAGAAGCTGTAAATTCCAGGAAACTCCCTGCCAGCCCGTTGTGGCGGGGGAGGGAGCGGAGGCTAATCCGTGCTGGTTCCCCAGCACTTGGAGAGCAGATGTGTCTGCCTCAGGAACAGCAGCCGAGGAAAGTTCAAACCAAAGTGTGTTTGCTCACTATAAAAGAGACCTCTGTGAGGGGCCCAGGAGGGAGGATTTGGGGGGCGTGCTCTGCCAGAGGTCCTCACTGGGGGCCCACAGAGGCCATTGTATCTTGTCGGAGGGGAGAGGGGAGGGGCAAAGCCAGAGCGGCTGTGGGAGCTGCTGGGTCATCTTTCTGGGCGTTTTACAGCCAGCTCCCAAACACAGTTGCTGCTGCTCCTGAAAGGCTGGGCCAGGAGGAGGTGGGGTCCCTTCCCACTGGAGAGCTGGATGGAAGGGGCCCCGCCCCGGGGGTTCCCGGATGACTGGCCAAGGGCTCACTGAAGCCAGCGAGGGAGAGGAGGCAGGCGTGGTCTTCCCCTGCAGGCCCTCCGGCTGTTTGGAAGGCCCTGGCGCCCCCCCAGGCCCTGGAGCCGAACCCCCTTTGCGGTCTGATCCAAACCCTCGCCTGCCCCACCCCCTTCCTTCTCTACACTTCTGGGGCTGGCCTTTGCAGCTCTGGAAGCCGCCCAAGAGCATATCTTTGAAGCACAGCAAAGGTTAGGAAGGAGGAAGACAGAAATGTCCTCTGGGCTGGGGGAGTGGGAGAAAGGAATTCCATGCATGCTGCACGGGAGTCAGGGGGAGTCAGGCCTGGTGAGGGCGATCAGCTTGGCCTCCGCGGTGCCCGCCATGTCCTGCTACCCACTCTGGCCACCTGGCCCTGTGTGGCATGAGCCCTCTTCCCGGGCTATGGGCAGGGAGCAGGGAGTGGTGGCCCTTGTTTACAGGGCTTGTTTCAACCTTGGCTCACAAGGGTAAGAGCCAGGCCCTGCCATCCGCCCCTACAGGATGCGAGACCTCGTAATTGTCTTCAATTACAGACAGTGCCGGCCCTTAGCCCTGGCTTCCGACAGGAACCAGAGCCTGAGCCACTTCCATGGGGGGCAGTGGGAGCCACCCAGCCCCCACTGCAAGGTTTAGGGGCTCCTTGTGGCCTTTGGGGCACTTCCAAATGCCATGGGCCCTGGGGTTCCCCCAAAATGCGGCTTCAGGGCTGCAGAGAGCCCGTCTTTGTTGAACACTCGCCTTCTTTGTCCCTGCGCAGGATGAAACTTCTGTGAGCAGTGAAGATTTTGATATGAACGACTCCACATGGATGTCAGCTGACCCACACCTGGCCTCCAGCCTGAGTCCCAGCCAGGACGAGAGGATGCGGAGCCCACAGAACCTCCACAGCCAAGAGGACGGTGAGTGTCCCTGGGGGGACGGTACCTAGGAATCTGGAGTGGTGGGATCTGGGCTGGGGCCTCTGGAGTGGCATAGGCCCAGGCTTATAGCCACCCCTGGCGTTCTCAGCATCTCTGGGGCCCCGCTGCCCCAGCCCCTGGTTCCAGAGAGAGCAAGTCATTCCTCCCAGAGGTAGATGGATAGAGCTCTCGGGGCCTGGCGGCCTGACGGGGTCATGCTTGTTTGTTTGCACTGATGCTCATGGGCTGGTGGGATAGGGATTTCGAAGTTATCACGATTCAGGCCCGGGAAGGTTAACAGTGTGCCTGACCCGGAACAGTCCAGCTGCCCAGTATTGAAAACAACAGCCTAGCTTCTACGGCTTGGTGTGAGGCTGTAGGACAGGGTTCCTCACCTGGTGAGCGCGCCAGCAGTGCACTCGTCCACATATGTGCCCCCGGCCCCGTGGGATGAGGTGTGGTCCTGCTGAGGAGCTGTCCAGACTCTTCCCTAGCCCTGGCCCCACCATTCTCCAGGGCCTGCCGGGCAGCCTCCTCCAACCTCCCTTGGAACAGAGGCTTCCTTCTTGCAGTGGGAGAGTCAGGGTCAGAAGTCAGATCCCAGACATCTACTCCGGAGCTCCCGCATGGAGCCCCCGGTGGGGCTGGGCTCTGGGGCTCCAGTGTGGCCTCAGTTGGACGCAGTCATGGGCCAGGGGGTGGTGCCTGTGGTCAGAGTGTCCCTGGCTGGGCTCTGATTTCTGGGGAGGAGGTGACTGGGTGTGGGGGATGAGCCGGAGCTGGGCCTCGGAGAACTGGGGTGTAGAGCCGGCAATTAGGAAGGGTCGAAGGTCGGGGCCTGGAATGCGGGAGGGAGGTGCAGGGTTAAAAAGGGGTGTAATGTTAACTCTGTGAAACGGGTTAGCCGTAAAGAGTAAATAAGGGGTAGGAGCCTTGCAGTTTGGGTCAAAGTTCGTCTCCATGGCAGAACCCGTGCGCCTGCCTTCCGACTGCTCTCGCAGGCCTGAATCTGGCTTTGTCTGGGAGGAGACCCAGCCTAGAGAGGCAGCCGGGGTGGCTGGGCCAGGGGCTGGGGAGCCCAGGTGGTGGTCCTTCAAGGAGTGGGGTGCGAGGCTGCTGGGAAAGAAAAGGCTTTTGTGCCTTGATGCCTCATGAGGTCAGCAAGACCTCCTCGTGCTGCAAGCCTCCCAGACCAATACTGCCTTCCAGCGTTCCCACAGAGTGGGGACCCAGGGTTGGGGCAGCCACATGCTGCTGGGGGCTCTGGGGCTGGGAAGTGCCCCACAGCTGACCTCCCACCTCCCATCTGAGCCAACTGAGGGCCACACCAAGGGCCATGCCAGCAAAGCTCAGCCAAGGGCCCTCGGTTATACCTTCCCAAGAAGGATTCAGAACATTTTTGTGTGTGTGTGAGGAAGATCAGCCCTGAGCTAATATCTGTTGCCAATCCTCCTCTTTTTGCTGAGGAAGATTGGCCCTGGGCTAACATCCGTGCCCATCTTCCTCTACTTTATATGTGGGATGCTGCCACAGCCTGGCTTGACAAGTGGTGCGTAGGTCTGCACCGGAGATCTGAACCCACAAACCCTGGGCCGCTGAAGTGGAGTGTGTGAACTTAACCACTACACCACCAGGCTGACCCCCAGAACATTTTATTTATTTATTATTTTGTGTGTGTGTGTGTGAGGAAGATCAGCCCTGAGCTAACATCCATGCTAATCCTCTTTTTGCTGAGGAAGACCAGCTCTGAGCTAACATCTATTGCCAATCCTCCTCCTTTTTTTCCCCCAAAGCCCCAGTAGATAGTTGTATGTCATAGCTGCACATCCTTCTAGTTGCTGTATGTGGGACGCGGCCTCAGCATGGCCGGAGAAGCGGTGCGTCGGTGCGCGCCGGGATCCGAACCCGGGCCGCCAGTAGCGGAGCACGCACTTAACCGCTAAGCCACAGGGCCGGCCCCCAGAACATTTTTTTTAAAACCCATAGTAGTAGGATTGAATGGGGGCCATATTCCCCCAACTTGTTCTTTTTTTTTTTTTTTCCCCCTAAAGCCCCAGTAGATAGTTGTATGTCATAGCTGCACATCCTTCTAGTTGCTGTATGTGGGACGCGGCCTCAGCATGGCTGGACAAGCAGTGTGTCAGTGTGCACCCGGGATCCGAACCCAGGCCGCCAGGAGCGGAGCGCACACACTTAACCACTAAGCCACGGGGCCAGCCCAGCCCAACTTGTTCTTGAAAAAGTCTTGTGCTATTGTTGCTCACAGCCACCCTTTGGGGGTCTGATCCCTGTCGAAGACACTTCCTGGGGAGATTTGGTGATTTGGGGGCCTCCAGGGTCAGGTAGCAGAAGGGAGTGTTTCTGTGGGGGTCATGGCGCTTCCTCAGCCTTAGTTGCCCCACCACCCAGAGGTTGGCTGATCACAAAGATGAAGCTGAGAGAAGCAGCGAGGCCAGTGGGGTCAGCGTGCCCTGCAGCTGGTCCCACAGGAGCAGGTGGGGGCGCTGACCTGGGTATAGTCATGCACATCTCCTGCCCAGGTCCCTCCTGGCCATGGGTGCTGGGGCTGAGGCAGGCTGGCCTGCTGACAGGACAAGGGTGTTTATCAGGGTGGGCAGCCAGAGCTGGAGATAAGGAGGATGGTGTTGACCACGATACCATCAATTTAATTATTTAATCAGAGACTGTGTCTGGAGGCTGTGGGCTGACGTGTTGGCCAGAGGCCGACCTAGACCCAGTGCAGGGGTCGCAGGCCACGAGAGACTGGCTGGCCTAGTCTCTGCTGCCCCTTCTGGTCCTAGATCTGTTGGTGACTGCCATGTCTCTCCAGAGCAGTGGGTTCCCAAAGGGTTTTGGCTAGGCACAGACCCGGCCTGGAGTCCTCATCCAGCCTTCCAGCCCCCATGGTGGTGTGCAGCCAGCTCCCCTCTCCCCACTGCTTATAGTGCAGACACGAGCTGAGATCCTGCGCCCATCTGTGAGTCAATGAGAGGCCGTCAGTGGTTTCAGGGTGTTCTCACGTCCCCGTTGTTAACGAAGGAGTGGGTGGGGACAGGCCAAGTAGGGGCTCTGGTTGGCCCTGTGCTCCACACCCAGCCACAGGCCTCCACAGTCTCCACTCCCTGCTCCTATGCCTTCCTCCCGAAGCTTCCCCAACCCCACCAACCCCCAAGGTGGCTTGGTGTGCCGTCTGTGGCCCTCAGTCCTCCATGGAATTGGCAAGTTGGAAAAATGATGTCTGAGGCCCCCACTGTGAGCTCTGGAGATGAGGATCCTCTGCTCTGTCCCCAGTGACTCTGGCTGCATGCCTGGCACATTACAGGGGCCTGCTAAATATTTGTCACCTGAATGAATAAAGGAACAAATGTTTATTGAGACCTACCCCAGAGCACACCATCTGGAAGGGATGTAGGTCCACCCTTGTTGGGGACAAGTTGGGTTCTTTGTTCCTGAGGACAACCCCCAATCTGAGCACCTGGGTCTTCTCCCTCAGCCAGAAAGTGTGGGGACTCCCAAGGCTGTGCTGGGGAGCATCCCACCCCTGCCGGCCAGTGCTGCAGCCCAGAAGCGTTTCAAGAAGCCGAGCAGTTTGCACAGATCCACATCTGTTGGTGGATATGCTGGGACCCTCCTCTTCCTCCTCCTCCCTTTCCTCCTCCTTTTTCAAATTTTAACAAAGGAGATGAAGGCTGGGCTTTGGCAGGTCCCACGGCTGAGACCGGGAATGAATTATCGGCAGGCCAGCTCTCACTCCCGGAGTTTACCAGGAGTGGGAGTGTGCTTGCTCTGAAACAAGGTGGTGCTTTTGTCCCCAAACCCGCCACCACCCGCGAGGCCTCACTTCACAGATCTCTTTTACGGGTCCCATTGCGTCTCCCTGAAATCACAGCAGTGGTTGCTTGGCGGGGGGGCCTCTCACGCCGTGCTTCCTCACCTGGGGCAAACTGCCGTGGGCGAGCACATCTCACGGGAGGAAACTGCAGATCAGGGAGAGAATTTGGGTGATCTGGCCAGAGTCAGGAGGGGGTGCTGAGGCTGCTCCCCTCCCCTTCCTTCTTTGGCAGGCGTCGAGGCCATGTGTGAGGTTCCCCAGAAGATGGCGGGGGAGCCTGGGAACCAGAGGAGGCTCCCCCCACACTCAGAGCACTGGCTTATTGGGGTCCCAGCTGGGGTCCCCACCACAGCTGGCGGGGCCAGGCGAGGGCCCACTCCTTCCATTTCCCCTTGATGTGCTTCACCAGGCCTCTTGCTCTGCCCCTTCCTGAACGGAAAATGTGAGGCCTGGCCTCCCCAGAAGGGACGCATGGGGGTGGGGAGCGGACATTACTCACCTCCCAGGCAGACAGGAAGCCAGCGCCAGGGGAGAGCCCAGGGTCCTGCTTCCGTCTTGCTGCAGGGTCTGCAGGGGGTTCTGAGCAGGGGCTGCGTGGCGTCCTGGGGCATCTCGGGGCCTCTTGTTTGTGCCGCTCAGGTGAGACAGCTCCTCCAGCCTCTGGCCTCTGGGACCCCCTAGACTTCAGAGCTTCCCTCCCTCCAGGGACATGGTGCCAGCACTTCCTGCCTGCAGACCAGAAGGTCTGGAGCCTCCCCTCCAGAGCACGTCGTGAGGCTGGACAAAGGCGTTCAGGGTCCTGGCTTAAGGCTTGGGCTCTTTCAGGCTCTCCCTCAGTGTTGTCGTGTGAGCACTGAGCCCCTGTCGATGGCATGCACCGTTGATAAGCCCGGCCCTGCTCTCGAGGAGCCTGCAGTTTGGAGGGACAGGCTCACACAACGTGGGCTCCCTGCCAGGCTGTAAGCTTTCTGAGGGCAGGGAGTGTGTTTCTGCAGAAATGTATCCTATTTTTCCCCTTATTTCACAAGTATTACATTCTTTGTAGAAAATTTAGAAAAATTGAGGAGCAAAAAAATGAACATCGAAAATACCAGTGTTTGGCCCGTATTTTTCTTCGTCTTTTCTGTGCATATAATCAGTCTCATTTCCTTAAAGAAAAAAGGGGGTT